CTTGTGTTTGCCAAAGGACTTGCCATTTTTTAAATATATAATTTTATCTAACATTATTTTGCATATATAGTTTTAATCCATAATTATTTACATATACCTTAGCAAAATATCTGCTTTACTCAACTAGCGTTATCACAATTCCAAGATAAGTCATTTCTGTAGGGTATAAACCCCACTATTGTCTCTATAAAACTATAACAGGATTTTTTTAAAGATTATTACAAATGATGACTCTTTGAGTCTCCCTATTAAAATATTGATTGCAAATCTTTTTTTTTTTTCTCCTTCAGACCAGGTATTTGTGTAATAAATTTTGTCATCTTAATATATGTTTTTCTCAACATATTTTTTTTTGCAAACCAGGACCCCCCTCACCTCCTCGGAATGCCATCTCAAATGTTAATGAAACTAGTGTCTTTCTGGAATGGATTCCTCCTGCTGACACTGGTGGAAGGAAAGATGTGTCATATTATATTGCATGCAAGAAGTGCATCTCCCATGCAGGTGTGTGTGACGAGTGTGGAGGTCATGTCAGGTACCTCCCCCAGCAAATCGGCCTGAAAAACACCTCTGTCATGATGGTGGACCTGCTTGCTCACACAAACTATACCTTTGAGATTGAGGCAGTGAATGGAGTGTCCGACTTGAGTCCAGGAGCCCGGCAGTATGTGTCTGTAAATGTAACCACAAATCAAGCAGGTAAGTGTGATGTCCAACCAAATCATGTACCTTAGGCCAAGCTCTGTCAGTTCTCTCCACAGCTGAGGGCTGAGTTGCCTGAGATCTGTTGAGAGAGTTTCTCACAAACCACAGCATTAGAACTTGAAGTAGAATACATCTCAATGTGCTTTATTTTTAGTTTTAAATAAATACAGGCTAAGGCTTTCTTAGCTGACACATTCACGGATGGAAAAAAAATATATTTTAATTGAATTTTTTCATTAAAAATACATTTCTGGCTCAAATCCATTTGTAGCAAATATTTTTTAATCTCATAAGTACAAGCAGTGCCATTATTATAGCTCAAATCTACATTTTTTATTGTTTTGTTTACTTCAAGTTTTTTAATTTAGCATGTAATCAGGCAGGTTTTATTTTCTTGTTTGTCAATTTGTTTGGCACCACAGCTGAATTTTCTTTGCAGACTGAAAAAGTATTNGCATAATGGAAAATGTGCATTTCTTCAATGTATGATATATTAATATAGGAAACAAAAATTATATTTGAAGCACTGTTTCAGTTTTAAATACAAATAAGTATTTACCTTTTATAATGTAATTTCTTATAAACTCCTGTAGCATAAAAATCATTAAAATATAAAACATTTCAAACATGTTTAATTTAAATATTTAAAATAAATATTTGATTATCTGAATGGTCTGGCATTTATGATTCAGAAGCTTATAAAAAATTGAAATTAATGCAAAGGTTGGATTATGTGTAATCTGTGTATACTAGTAAAAATAATGACACTATTCACAGAACAAACACTGCATCTGTTCCAGGGAAAAGCTTAGTCTCTTATTTCTTTTGACAGTGTGCAGACCTGGGTTCTTCAAAGCCTCACCTCACAGCCAGAGCTGCAGCAAATGTCCACCTCACAGTTATACCCATGAGGAAGCTTCAACCTCTTGTGTCTGTGAAAAGGATTATTTCAGGAGGGAGTCTGATCCACCCACAATGGCATGCACAAGTAAGGAACCCCATGGATATTTGGTGATGCTAACTTTCACCAGTTTGAAGAAAGAGCGTGGAGGAGCCTGTTGCATTCTATTACCATTTCCCCTAAAACAGGCATCATGGATTTAATCTGCCAATATAGTTCTTCACCACATTTCAATCTTCTTGAGTGAGCATCGAAACATTTGAGGCTCTTTTATCGCTCACTCTGAGAAGCATCCATTTTGCCTAATTTCAAATTCAACTTCTGAGACACTGACATAGAACTTTTCCTTTTATTTTTTTTTTGTTTTCTATTAACGTTCATAGTAGCCAAACATGACTTTGATCAGTCCGTTTCCCTGTTCATGGTAAATTTTCTTCTTCTTCTTCCAACCCAGCTTTCTGATCACATAAACATGCAGTCAATGGCACTTTCGCCTTCTTGTTCTAACTTGCCCCACTAAGCTGCAGAGGCCACTGGGAAGGTCATTTGTAAACAAAACTAAACACTACAAGAACATGGAGAACTGGGGGTTGGCAAAACAGATTTGAGGCAAATATAAAACCAATATTTTAGCTAGGATTTTCAAGCATTTGTCATGTTTCTTATGAGTGAGTGTCCTCATCTATTATTAATTACATAATCAAATAATCATAGAATTAGAGTGATGAATATTAAACACCTAATAACAATATTTGCAGTAGATGCACTCACCTCCATTAATGCTTTTGGTGATTTTGTGTTTCTAGTGTTGCACATATTTCTGGGAAGGAAACAAATCTATGCATTTGTTTGATGATAATACTTCCGTACTTCTTCCACATTCATGGCCTCCATAACAAATCAAACAGAAACAGAAAATGAAAGGAGAGAAAAGTGGATCCCCTCACCACATAACATTAAATTTTCATGACCTGCCTTGTTTTACTATTTTAGATCCCATTGGGATGTAGGTGCTTTCAAAGATGATAAAAAAGGTTTTTGAAATTTAGTATTCATTAGAATTAAATATAAAGATATACAATGGCTTTAATCAAATAATTACAAACTGAAATTTTATCTGAATTTCAGTGTCTGAATTTCATAATGTCAGTGAAACATATTTTCATAGTTCCTTAAATCTTTTGTATTGATTAGCTTTACATTGCTAAAGATCATTCTTTTATCACAGGACTGATAATTTTAAGGGTTAAGTGATTACTAATTATAAAAAAAATCCTCTTCAAATGAGTACATCACATTATTATATACAATTGGGAGGATAAATTTGAATAGAGGTGATATAAACTATGATTGAGTGTGATGCATTTTGGTTGCAGTGGAGATTATTCCTATTATTCAGAGCAAAATATTGCCCAAATAATGTGGGAAAATGTTGGCTAGACAGTACAGTGATAAATTAGGGTGAGAAAAATGTCTTGAATTACTTTTTAAATATCATTAATTTTATAATTACTATTTTCTTTGAGTGTTTGAGCCATGATATTTCTCTGTGTTAGCATAATTGTGAGTCTCCATTTCTGTAAATTTATTGTCTGGGAATGGGGAGAGCCAGTGCTCTGGTGACAAAGGCTGCGCAGCACTCGTTGTAGGACCTGAGCCTTCATGTATTCTCTGTCTCCAATGTGTGAATTTCTAACACTGCCTCAAAAGAAAACTAATTTGTATGCATTTCTCAAAGAGACTATTGTGACTCATGAGGAAGATCTTTCTAATATATAATCTGTGAGTGTGTGTGTTCTGTTTTAGTTGCATTCATGCTACACAAATACTGCATATCATCCCTTGAACAGATGGCTTGATTGATATTCAGGTGAAAATAAAAAATTTTGCTTCCCCTTTGGCTCTTTGGAATTAAATTTATGGTTTCAACTCCTTTTACTATATATACATACCTATATACACGTGTGTATATATACATATATATGCACATATATATATATGTATATATATGAAGTATATATACATATGTGTATACATGTATATATATATATATGTATATATGTATATATAGTTCCAACTTATATATATACACATATATATGATTCCAAATCCTATTTTTTATATATATATAAAATCTGGAAAACAGAATGACTCTCCTTAGATCAAGGGTACTTCTCACAGCTCTACTTTGTTTTGTACATCACATCTATTAGAGGCAGTGGAGTTTCATTAGGTACAAGTTAGTCAGCCTGTACTTGTACTTTAGGGTTTCACTTGACTNCCATCGGAAAACAAAAAGATATTTACATTACGATTCATAACAGTAGCAAAATTACAGTTATAGAGTAGCAACGAAAATAATTTTATGGTTGGGGGCACCAAAGCATGAGGAACTGTATTAAGGGGTCATGGCATTAGGAAGGTTGAGAACCACTGCCTTAGAGTCATTCTTAGAATTTCCCACTTACTCATCTGACCCATTAAATACATCTCAAAATCTTGTTGATTTCACCTCATACTTACCTGCTGAATTCACCTTCTCTTCTCTGTTACCAGTGGAGCCACTCTTGTCATGCAACAGAGAGCCTCTTTCTGGACCAATCAATAGAAACAAAAGGGCCAGTTGCCTCCATCCATGCTCCTTTCCAATTGCTTACCCATACTGCTGTGCAATTATCTCTTTAGCACCATTTTGATCTTATTATTTCCCTGCTGATAACTTTGTAATGACTGCTCTTTGATCATAAATTAAAGCCCCAAATAATAAAAGCTATAAGGTGTTTGTGACCTGGTGTCCTCTTTCTTGCTTCACTTTATCTCTACCACTTTATTCCTATTACCTCCCTGATCAACTCTTCAGTTTCCCCCATCTCCCTATTTGCTCTCCATCTATCTTCATCCTTTGAAAGGATTTTTCCCTCTAAGGCACTGCAGTACTCTTATTCAAACTGGATAATATTCCTGACCTTCTACATCTCGGCAAAGATTCATCTCCATTAGGAGTCTTCTTTACATTCCAGCCTAAATTAAGTGTCGATGTTCACTCCCGTAGCTCTTTTTCTTTCCTAGCATATTCGTATTTATAATTATTTATGAAATACCTTTAAGACTCCTAAAGGCAGAGCCATGTCTATCTTGTGTACCTCAGTAACCCAGTACCAAGCAAAATTTCTGGCCCACTACACTTGTTGAAAGCAATTTGTTGAACTATTGAACAGAAAGATACAGTTATCAAGTTTTTACTTCATTTATATTGTTTTCTATTTCCAAAGTTCCCATGGAGGGTTGAACAGCAGTTATATATAAGGTATCATGTAAAATTTTTGAGTTAAAAGGCACTCTTTAAAGAGAAAAGAAATAACTTTTGTTTGATGAATGATAAAAGAATTTCAAATATGCAGATTGGCACTTCATGTCTTTGAAAACAAACACTGTTTAAAGTGGCAGTAAAGGATAAAAGAAGAAAATTGGATAACTTAACTAAGAAGGGTGCTAGCAGCTACAGCAATCCTATTATAAGAAAAATAATATTTTAAATCTCCTCCTAATCATTTAACTACAAGAATGTCCCTAATACTATCAAAAAGCTCTTCTTATCTTTCAAATACCTTCACATTCTCTGAATTTATAAGAGCATTAAGGCTTTACTATTGCTATAATTAGATCTAGTGAAAAAAGTACCTTCTCAGTTTTGTCAATTCCTGATTATTCCTGGTGATGGCAAAAAGACTTAGCATGGATTACTAGAACTCCCGATCACATATGGAACATGAAACTTAGCCTCAATTCATTATGTCTATCAAAAATTTTTATTGAAATACAAGTTTACCTTTGAGTTTTAGTGAATGTTTATTGATTCATGAATAAATGTTTACACACACACATAC